CTTTATAACGGTCATTTAGTCCTAGTTGATAGGCAGACATTCTCAGGGTCATTTTAGCGTCGTTTAAATGTCGTCCATAAATTATAGTCTCACCGATTACTTTAGTCTGGTATTGAACAGTTACGGAATTAGTTTAGTTAACTTAATCTGGCCTGAATTGCAAAAGCCTTCATCCTGTTTTAAATATTTCCATTGATTTACTTTTTATTTACAGCTGGACAATTATTATCCTATAATCGCATTTTTACATGGTGAGTTTCATTTGATAAACTGTCGAAATTAAAGTTTTATTGATCAAAATCATGAACCAATCTAAGACGGACCACCATTGAAAACCTGGAAGCACTGAATAGCCGATTCATCTCAGGATTGAACTTCCCACTTGTGCACATCCACGACCCCGCTTATGCACATGGGAATCGAAACAAACCTCAATACTGATTTTTCTCATGTTAAAACTCTGCTACAGTGACTTACTTCGAGTATTCCTGTTTGGATTCACTGTAGATTATTTCAACGTTAAAATTTATTATTGACATTCATGTAAACCAAGTCAGCTTATAGAAAAACAAAGCCGATACCAACACGACATTGACCAAAATCCACTCCTTATCATTGTTGAATTCCAACTCACTGGCAGATCTGTGCCAAAGAGTTTTAGAGTCCATTGATTCATAAGAGCTCATTAATGAGAAATCTTGAGTTCAAATAACAACAGAGCTATCTTATACTTCGTATTTTTAAAAACTTCCATTTTCAAAAGTTTACTAAAAGAAACTATCTTTAAATTATTTAGTTGTTAAACAGACCATAGATATTATATTAAGTCGAGCTAATCCAATGGTATTTTGATTCAATTTATAAACTTTCTATTACATAATCATTCGTATAGCCTGATTTTGAGTTTTGATATAGTTGAGAATACCAATTTATGTAATCACTAAGTTCCTATACTACAGAAGTGACAAGAAAAAGTAATAAAACGTATTTAAAATACAGGTATTGTCAAGTAAAATGAATCAATTAAGTCATATTATTGTTGTGTTAAAAAATGAGACAGTAATTCAACAGGAATAAACCATACAGATGAATCGCTTCTCAACGGAATAAATCAAGTTTACATTTATAAGCAAAGTTGGATGGTGGCTAGCAGTAGAATCCAGGACGTGCGTCTCGTCCTATTAGGGACTGTTCAGCCGTATGTACCTGCATCCCAGAGTCGACAAGTAAATGATCAATTGCAGTCCTAAATAACAATCTGAAGATACAGTAAACAACACCAAGTGAATATAACTCCACCCCATTGCACAAGCAGGTGGCTCTCAGGACTCAGTAGTTAAGTGGATAACGCGGCGGCGTTTGAAGCTGACGGAACTGGGTTCGAGTCACAAAGTGAACGTCAACTCTGAGATGCAGGTACATCTAGCTGTAAGAGTCCCAAATAGAACGGAGCGCGCCTCCTGGATTCCATTGCTAGTCACTATCCATCTTTGCTGATAAAGCTTGTGACTTCAGGCAATATCGAGGCGGTCCGCACAGGATGCATATATGCAAACAAGGAAATGATCAATCGCGGGAAGATACAAGTAAACAACACCAAGCAAATATACATTTACATTTGTTATGTTTGTGAAATAGATCGCAGGTTCTTATTTTGGTATATATTAATCATAGTGCAGTTTGCGACCAGCATTCATAGTCAACTCATCTCAGTCTGTAACTAAGTCTTGTTTTTTTTGCTTAAATTAGCTATTAACTACATTTTACATGAAATGAAATCGATATTCTCATCAAAATAACTTACGACGGACTACAAACTATTACTTTAATGAAGTGTACAATGTTTACCAAACATAATAGTGAGAAATTCCAAAACGTCTATGTCTTGAAATATTCGTTGTGTTCATTAACGTCTTAATAAAATTTAGAGGATTTTATGTGCTTATTCACAAGTAGTCTGTTTTGTATTTCATACATTTTTGAATGAATTCGGTAATTTTCCATTGAACGAATTTCATTGGAATCACTTCTTTATGTTATAAATTTAAAAGTATTTTTGAAATGACAGTTCACTTTAATTAAAATCAAAGGGTCAAAATCATTTTTCACGCTAAAATGTTTGCTTAATTAAATACAGATTTTGTAAATCATAGCATAAATTGGAAAATATGTTTTAGTGGAAAAAAAACCCACTTATCATTAACTTATAATAAGCTTAGTTTGTTTCAACTAACTAATCAATTCAAGAGTATAAGTGACTAGAATATAAATATGTGACTAGTTTAACAGTTCAACAGTCCAATGTTGAAATAATATCTTTTTTTCTTTAAGAAAGGATCCCTTTTAAATCATTCGAATAATGGTTAAGTTCATTGACATTGAACGAAAACAATCAAATAATCGTTTTATAATCAAAATAACTATAATATCTTGAGTAAACAAAAACTAGAACAAAAATCCATTTATTTCTTAGTCAATAATGAATATTTCTATACTCTTAAAATGTTATTTGACAGAGCTATCAATACGAAACAGGGCAATTACTAACGCGTTGTCAATGATCACCTTGTGAAACTCGGATACAATAATTCCGCTAGGCTTGTATTAGAATTTAAACGGCATCGGTCTTCTCATTCACTTGTTAATGACCAAAATTACATAAAACAATGTATTTTTTGATATCTCTCACAATAATTTGGTTCTCATTTGAGCCTATGTATAAGGGCTTTTTAGGCAATAATAGACAGAGACATATAGCCACACCCTATGTTTAGGATAATAAACTGAAGAATTTTAATCTATGCCATTTACACCCTAACAGATTATGTACTAACTAAATATGTCCAGTAATAAATTTGATGAAATGTAACCACTGAAATCTATGAGAGTTTATAAAACATCATCAGTCTCAGTCAGTTTTATACCGTACATCCTGCAATACTTTTCATCATTAAATAACAGCATCAGATGTTAAGGTGTACTACTGAACAACTAATTCATTCCCATTCAGAGCCAACTTAGTTGTAAACGTACTTGATTCATATTGTACTTCATTTTATATAATTCGCATATGACCGTATTGGGACCTATTCTGATTGTCGACTAGGTTAACTACATAAATTTCCTCTCCCTCATTAAAGTACTGAGATCACTAATTTCAAAGCAAGAGACCAATGAATTGTCTCATATAATCTGATTTCAAAAATATATGTCACTGAACGAGTCATTTTGAAACTATTCGTAGGATGTACAGGATGTACATTATCTCTCTAGTGGGAACCTTCGCAGTTATAAATCCATTTCCAAGTCCACATTAAAATTAACCGATTATTCATTGTGACTTTAAATTAATACTGAGTTTCACTGAAGAATATTTTATATCTATTTCTGACAGCCAAACTGTAAAATGTTACGTGCCATGTAAGTATGACGTACTTATGATTTCAGTTTTATTTAGCTAAACTTTATAAATCCCACTGCTTCAAATAGATATGTTAATATCACGCAATTTTCACACGTCGTATAAACCATAAATAGTGACTGAAATGGAAAGCTTTTTATTCATAACTGCCTACAAACCCATTTAAAAAATGCCAGTTATTGTCGAATATTAACAAAGTTTGATATTGTAGATTACTAAATCCTTACTCCTTAAAATGTCGAAGTAATGATTTCTAATATATTCATCAAATAGACTAAGCTGAAATTGAAGAGAATGATTTCATAAATATTCCATAACCTTTAAATTATGTAACTAAATTTCATAGACTATTAATCGATAGAGATTCATTATGCAATGGATATAGTGAAGCTCTTATCGAAACAGTTAATCAGTCAAACACATTGTACAGCCTAATACAAGTGTTTGTCAGTTCGGTTAATTAATAAAAAACATCAACACAGTGAAAATAATGTGAAAATATAAAAATCAAAGTAATTTAAACAATATCAGTAGCAGCGAAAAATTAGGAGTAGGCAATACAGTACAGAGAGATGCGTTATGCAAGTATTCGCCCCAATAAATAAATATTTCAATGGTTAAGATATTTGTTTACTCTGAAGAAGAGGTTTACATTAAGTGACGAAACATCGTTGTATAACTTGCTTAAGTACGACCCAATTATGTGGGATGGTAAAAAATAAATCCTGATTACTTCCTTAGATAATTCTAATGTGGGATTTTAACAATATTTTTCCTACAGCCATTTATATTTCCAGTGACTTACAATAATGTGAAATTTTATCTTGGATATTTTTGATAATATTGTCCGTTTTGAGATACAGTTGGTCAGTTTTTCTGTATTTCCGTATCTATTATATTACGGATTTAAGCCATTCATTTAGTTTCCTTTGAATAATCCTCATCCAGTCACACATTTTACCGTTACATTTAAATCAGAACACAAATAACTTGACAACTATATATGCTACTTCTCTGTAACCACATATAACGGGTACTTTTTTGAAGTACATGCAACACTCAAGAAAAATGAATTCTGTCATGAACACAAACAAAAAGTATACGTAATGAAATTTTTATCCATAGAAGAACAATAAAACATTGAAACTCAGTAGGTTTTTAACAAACAACTAATGATACCACACACATAAAATAAATTGGTTTTCGTAACTCAGTAGTTCACTAAATAAACCCTCTGACGTTTTAAGTAATGAGGACATTCGAGTTAAGATGTAGCTACACCAAGATGATATGCTCCAAACAGAAGAAACCCACTGCCTTGATTCCGCTACTAGCAATTATTTAAAATATACTTAAGTTTTAAATATAAGTATCAATCAAGCAACTTTTCAATCAGTCTGTTCACTCTTTCAGAGACTAATCAAAATTCAGCTCTTAATATCAACAACGTACTAGTGCGAAATGGTCGTCCAATGCTTCCAGGTTTTCAGCGATGGTCTAACATTGATCGATTCATGGTCTCAATCATAAAACTTAACAAATAATAATGATAATAATAACAATAATAAAACAAACTTACTTTATCATTGTTGTTGTAAATATCTTCACCTTCTGTAACTATGGTGAAGATTGTCTCTTTCAATTCTGCTGGCATATCACCAGAGATCTCTTGATAATCAGTTGACTTGATTAATTCATTTGGTAATCCCTATAGTTTTTATTTAATTTTATCGACAGAATGAAAACAAATCATTCACAATTTTTAAAAAATGTAAATTATAATTAAAAAGTTATTTGTAAGAGTTTGTATCCGGTAATATTCTTACTGGACGTAGTAGCTAAGTGAATAATGCCTAGGTATTTATGTCAATAGGTACTGGGTTCAAATCCCGATATGAGCATCAACACTAAAATAGAAATGCATTCATTTGACTAGTTAATAAATGAGACAAAATTCAATTTCTAGATTATACTCATATCCGCAATTCGACTTTATCAGTACAAAGATTTACATTATGAAATAAAACTGGTTTTTATGAACAGTAACTACTATGACTTAGTTTATTATAACTAGCTACACAGATTGATGCAAGAGATGAGAAACTATCATGACAGAAAAGTGTAGTGCCTTTAATGAGCAACTGAATTTCAGAATTGTTGAGATAATTACTGATAACGATTGTTCCATAAAACTGAAAATATATCAAACAAATGCTAATTAGAAGGCTAAACAACTATACAGTAACGACACTTGTTTTTTCCTGATAAATAAAGCATTTTTGTATAAATTATATGACACAAAGTATGTATTAGAAAAAGTTCATTAAAATGATTTTCACTATGATAAGATAGATGTATCTGTGAGTTATTTATCAGTTAATCAAAATAAGAAAACCCTTATTGTACTTATTTCTTGTCCACTATATCACAATTATTAAGAGACTCATTCAGTCAGTCAGTCAGCTGCAACGTAGGACCAGGCACGTATATGCATCGGTCCAAGTTGCCATACCGCATTAGCACAACAAGATGAACACCGGATTCATAGGAGTAGTTAATTCAGTGGTGGTAATATATAGAAGAAAGATTGTGTATATGGAGATAGTACAGGAAGAAAGAATTAGTTCCTAGACAGATATGAAGCGATTTTAATCTCTTAATTTAAGGAAGACAGAGAGTGTATACACCGACGCCATTGTGATCGATTCTGAGCCATGTCACCAAGAGTCTCCAACCATTGGTTACGATAGTCACGCGGACCCCAACCAGGCAGTCTGAATCTCCCAACATGACTCAGACCAGAAGTTAGTGACTTCAAGCATTGATGCCACGTTTTGGTTTGGCCGCCCCTAACTTTCTTCCAATTATCCCCTGCACTAGTCAGCATTGCGCGTCGTGGTAATCGGTGTTCAGGCATACGCAACACGTGGCCCAACCATCTCAGTCGATGAAGATTCATAACCTCATCAACTGATTTACCATCATTCCCTAATACCCTGCGTCTAACCTCACTATTATTTACCCGGTGATCCCAGCAGATACCCGCAATATTTCTAAGGCACCTGTGGTCAAATACTAGTAACTTACGAATATCTTCCACTCTTAAAGGCCATGTTTCGCAGCCGTATAGAAGGACGGAACGAACTGCCGCGCAGTATACTCGTCCCTTAATTGATAGACGAATATCTCGCCTTCGCCATAGATGATGTAAGTTGGCAAAGGCCAAGCGAGCTTTTCGAATCCGTGCTGAGATTTCGTCAGACACCAACCCATTAGGGCTGATCAGACTTCCAAGATAAGTGAAGTTATCAACGCGTTCGACTACTTCACCCCCCTCATTATCAATCTTGAGTAAAGAGTTTCTCACTCTTGAATGTTATAGATATTCAGTGTCCTAAAATTTGGGATGGCTCTTCAAGAGATTTCAGTTCTTGATATATTGAAACATTAATGTGAACAGCTTTCACAAACCTAGTATCTTATAATAGATTCTTTGTTTTGTCATCGAATGTATGCATTTATTAACATTCTATCAGTTTTGAATGATAAAAGATTCCTAATGTAAATCGCCTTTTCTAGATCATAGTCAATGTTTGCAAAAATGAAACATTTCACAGATAACAATCAGAGATTTGTCAGTGATATGAACGCTATTTATTCACCAAACTTTCAGTTTCACGGTTAAAAAGTAATATAGTCGAATACTCCGGTCCGATATCTATTTAGGACAGGATATTTTGTAAAAGGAAGCTATCTATTCAAGAAACCCATATTTCAAAATCTGATAATTTTTTAAACGTAACGCAAAATATGAATCTGACGAGTACTTCAGCGATTCGAAACTAGGTAATTATTGGAAACCAGGGTGTACTAAAGCACTGTTTTGTCCTAGTAAGGAACTAATCTTTGGTGTATACTGAAAATCTCATCAGATAGCCAAAGACATTGAGGTATTGTGACAAATGCATTAAATAGTTTTTAGTTCCATATTTAGTTAGTCTGCAGCGCTGCACAACTAAACAAGCCTCCAGTTCTAGTACCTTAAAAATATATTCAAAGATAACATCTCAAGGTATACATAAGTTTTAAAACATTAGCATTATTTTCATATTCATTTATAGACATTATTTTGCGTTCGCACGCTTCCAATTCACTTTTATAACATTTTACATCCATATAAACATTAATAAGCAAAAAAATGCTGTACTACATCAAGAACATGAACGCGTTTTGCATTATAACACAACTGAGGCTATGTTTACCAAATTTACGTTATCACATATTAGGAGTTTGGTTCCAGTGTTGTTGGAATCTATGGAACCGAGCCTTATAGAATGATGTGTACAAAAACGTATATCTTTCACATACATTTTTCAATAAATACAAAAAAAGAAAGCAGTTTTACAGAAGATACACTTACATTGTTTGCATTATTTATGTTATTTACGTGATTATTTGTTTGACCATTCTTTCGAAATTCATGTACATTTTCCAGTGAAGAATGTAAATCTGTTGCCACCTTTAATTCTTCTTGTTCAACATATTTGAATCGTCTAAACGGTAGAATGTATCACCCAACCACACACAAAAATAACAAACAAACATTATGTAACTAGTTATTGTTTATGTTGATATTTGCACAGTTTATAAAGTTTTTATTACTAACTGAAATCAGTTAGAGAACGATAGATAATCCAAGATTAGTGGTTACATGTTCTACCAAAGTTCCGAACACTACAACATCAAAGACACACACGAAATAAAGTATATTATTTTTATGCGTTATAAAGAAAAAATCTCTTTACCACCAAAACGGAAACCAGTGGGATACAACATCATTTTTAACCAATTTGTGATATGTCCTGACCTTCATCTAGTTGTTCAGTCATTGTCTAAACGGAACCTGGGACAAACATGAGTCAGACCAAGTTACTCAACACTTATAAGAGGATAACAAATGATGGAGTCTCCACCACTATGAACGATTCTGAGCATCAACATTCAAAGTCTTCAACCACTGGTCAGAGGTATTTAGTTGTGCTCAACCAGCCTGTATCTACAATGATAGTCCAGTTCATCTATGATCGTTAAGTTTATATCAAACAAATGAGTTGATGACGTTGCATTATTATTATGACATAAATTGATGTTTGAAAGGCCTAAGTACAATAGAAAAACGAATTTTGTAGAAAATTAAATTCGGTTTGACAAACAATACTAACTGGTTTTCGCCGTTTCTTCTGATGAAAAGCACTCCTGAAATGTAACAAAATCTTGGCAAAACCACTTTAATTCATTTGTGTCCTAGTTAGTTCAGACTGAAATCAAACAAAATGTCACTTTTTCTAAGGAAAAAAGTTGTGAATTTCCCAATGGAAACCAAATGACTATGATCTGATGGCTAACATTTTAATAAATTGGAAAAATATGCCAGCATTCCAGAGATCATATGAATAAATCCCACACTATGAAAGGTGGGTGAGAAATTAAAACATCACTTGTTAATAGGGTCAGAAAAAAAGAGTTTAATGAAACATAGTTTTCTTTGAAAAAAGTCATTAAAAAAACAATCAAAGCATGGAAGACAGTTGACGATGGTGTTCTTTTAGTGGCCGTTTGACTGAGTCCATAAAGATTGAACTATATTGGCTTTACTAAAGTATGGATAATTTTTACGTCGTAAATGTTAATTAATACGTTTAGAACAAAAGTCTAACATGAATTGTATTTACGATACAGACATTTCCGACATTCTAATTTAAACGGTAGACAAATAATAAAGGATGCAGAGATTGTATAGAGCATTGAAGTTCGGTAGTACACCGATTTAGAAAATAATAAAGTGACTCAGTTACTGAAGTTATTTCAGATATACAGGAAATGGATAGACAAACACGTATTAACATAGACATGTATAAAACATGCTCAAGTTTACACGTTAACAATCGACAAGGGTAAATATATGGGTGGTAGCATATATGGTAAGATTAGTAAGAATCTGATGTCCAAATATTAGAATAAATCACGTAGGCATTTAACAATATTAATTCTCATATTCCCCTAGTCTTAAAACAATCAGTTAATCAGATAGAACATTAAAACTTGACCTACATCTTCGTCGGTTCAAACTGATATGATCAAGGCAAATCTCAAAATGGTAGAATTAGGAACAGTATCAGTTGCAGAAAAACACGTTAGATATATACAATATGATTGAATCAGAAAGAATGAAATAAAAAAACATTAGATAATTTTAAAATGTGGATATAAAGGAAGATAAAGAGTGGATGAGTCTGTCTTTACGATGGATTCTGAGAAATATCATCCAAAGTAACTAACCATTGGTTATGATAATTTCACAAACACTAACCAAGAAGTCTGAACTTACTTAACTGCCTCAGTTCAATATTTAATGACTGTATGAACTTATACTAACTTGTAATCTGATGACACCTAGCTTTACTCTAACCTACTCTTATGCTAGCCGACATCACTTGCCGAGGTAGGCGGTGGTTGAGCTTTAATTTTTGAATACTGTAATCAGTTAACTGATCAGCTAATGCTTTAATGGGTGACTGGAATCTTTTTTTCTAAAACCTAATGGTCCACATTTTAAAATTCGACCGCAATTCAGGTTAGCTTACAATGATATTGGATGTAGATGAGGGTACTGAATTCCATTTCGTTTATAAGTATACCTGTGTGTGCACTGATCAAAAAGCAATAAACTAGGATCAAACATTTGTTCATTGTTCTTTGATTTAAAATAATTTCTCAACTAACATTATTTCTTGATCTACTGTAGACCCTATAATTCATAAAATTTTCCGAACTAAAAAATATGTTCTCAAGGGAATCACATGAATGAAAATTAAGAAGTCGCTTTGTGAATTATTTTATTTTAATTATTAATATCAATAAGAAAGTTGGACTTGATAGTTTGAAATAAATTGAGCATCGAGTAGAGAGTTAATAATAAATATATTTTTGTTATATCCCAACGAGTAGAAAAATTCTATTTCTGACGTTTCGTGACTTAATTCAAGCCACTTCTTCAGACTAAACAAAAATATATTTATTATATTAATTATCTTTTTAATTGGTCATTAGTTAAATGAACTAACGTCCGATAGACACTGTTCTTCGGGGTAGTTTAAGTTCCGAACCAATAATACATGGTTGCTTATTTTTAACGTTTGAGTTGATACTTATGTGAATTGGTACAAGTCATCATAACTCATGTTGGTACATTGAAATGCAATACTTATTCTAATTCAACATAATAGATAAGGTTCCATCAGTTCAGCGGACTAAGCAGAGGTATATTATTATTATTATTATTATTATTATTATTATTATTAAATCGACACAAGCGAATTTGTCTCGTTTTCCAGTCTATTTCACTCAACTATTTTCAAAAACACATGTATTTATCATTTTACCACACACTTAAAAAGTGTTTTCAAAAGCATATCAGAACATATAAAATCAAACCGAATATTGCTTAACTTTCTGTATACAACAAAATGAATGCAATGAGATTCCAGTCAAAAAGTTGATTGTATATATGCAAACTAACTGATCAAAGGACAAACTTGATAGTTCAAATAATAAATCAGATAGATACTGATATTTTTGCTTAAACTAAAACGTGTACTTTAATCATTTATTTTTTATATTATTTAATCACAAAAGTTATTGATTTGCTTAATTAGGTCGTTGATAAAGAGAGTAGTAGTAGAGAGTAGTTGACAGCTTGAGAAATACTGGATATCAAGGAACAATGAATAGATTTGTTTTATTTTAGCTTTAAACGCTGTTGTGTACGGCGGTCATCATACACTGAATAGAAATGAGTGATTTCATGAATCGTGATGAGCAAGATAATTTTAAACTATCAAGTTTAAATATAATAGGTCACAATTTTAAACTAAATTAATTTGTCATACAACGCCACCGTCATCGACTTCATTGTTGAAACAATCAATCTCAGTCAATGACTTCATGAATTCCATATTTCAATGCATTGGATTAGAAGGCTGAGAAATCCATACAAAAGCTAGTTCTTCAGTGAGACTTTGAATAATTTGGTTATAAAACTAATCAGTTTGGAAATGGGACCATTTATAATCAATGCTGCTTGATAATGGTAGGGTTATATCACAAACTGATTAGAGTTGGAAATATAGAGAATCGTGTTCTAACTTGGTGACCTAACGGCATCGTAGTCTTAGTTAACTCTGTACGTCTTAATCCATACCATTTGTGTTGGACTGTAAGTCCGTGCTGCTTATAGGTCTAAAATTATTATTAAAAAGCTGTTTTTAGTGGTCTCAAAAGAAAAAACGTAGATAGCTTAAAATTCGATTATTCAATGCGTGAGTCGTTCAAAAACTATCGCACTTAAAATGAACTAACTCAGTGATATGAATTGCAAGTATTAAGCAAAACGTAGAACATGTGAAGGAAAGTAAAACTTTATCGAATTCACCTCATTTTAATAAAGAAAACAACAACAAACCGAATGAAGACTGAATTTTGAATAACTATAATGTGTATACAGATAGACAACTAACTGAATCTATTAAAAAAAATCTATGCTGATTCATCCAGTTAACTGTATAAACAATGCTAATAGTAATAATAATGACATTGAATCTTGAAAATTCTTAATCCTTTATCCAGAAATCAGGTATTTCAATGACGAATTGATTTGTAAGTAATCGCACAGTAATTTACAGTAGATATATGTTCAAACTGTTAATAATAAAATGAAACACGATCCAGAAAATATTTAATATCTTACTTTCACATCAGATTGGATTGAATTAATGATTGTTCTAACAATCTAAATGATGATGTGTTGTGTCCCGATAAGAATAATGAGTGGTAATTTTATGGGATCTAGTTATGGACCAATACTGTGCGTATATTTTTGTCGTATAATTGTTAATTAACTAAACCTTTCATATTCATGTCTCTCTTATCATGAGCTTTATTTTAACCTATGAACTATTATTATACGATTTTCCATTCTTGAATTATACCCTGTCTATTAATTACTACCTCCCTCATTCAGAGCCACTTTTGGTCAAATCTTGTACAAATGTTATTTTCTATTTTATGATACGTTGTGGTCTGTTTGATTGGTATATAAACCCCGTATGCTTGAAATAAAGGATTCATATCACAGAGGCTCGGATTAGTGTTCTGGACTTAACTGGCTGGGCTAGGCAGGAAGCGAGATCAATCAGAACTCTAGGCTGCTCGCATGGGTCTTATGCGTCATTGATTCGATCGATAATTCACTGCTCTCTAATCGGTGGTCACAAGTTATAACAGATGATGATAAAATATTGGAACTTTGAACTGTTGTAGCTTGATCTAATAGTTTAGAGGTTAAGAGCTCAGGATGAGATTCTAAGAAAGCACGCTCTATCTCTGAAAAGCATATGGCAGCCTAACACTGAAGTATACTGTGCTAGAAAGAAACGGTTTAACTAACTCCAAGTATAAACGATTATACATATTTCGAAACTGTAGTTCTGTAGTTTGTATAGACAATTTGAAAAACCAATCGTTCCATAATCCACTTTTCACTTATTGGGGACTAGTTAATTTCTACCATATTGTTTGGATTAACCATTATTATTATTACATATTGGCGTTGCTACAATGACAATCACTAATCTAACCTTTCTAAACTCGATTTACATAGAATCCTCCATATCACGTAATTCGTACCTGTTCCTATAGAAATGTAAAATACTGTATACGTTGTGATATTCACCCATTTGATTATTTTTTTCACAAATAAACCTCCATCAAAAGTTCCATCTTTTAAATTGTTCTGATGGGTGATTTTGATATAGATTATCGAACAAAGCAAATACAATATTGGACCCTATAGTAAACTCATCAGTGCAATTGTTAATAGTATTAATATAGCCATAATTCTTTTTATTATAAATATTAATAGTCAATGTCAAAAATATATCATGAATCACTTACAAAGTTTCCAGTTCCAATCCTAATACATCACAAAATTTTGAAAGTGTAATTATGCCTGTTTTTTGAGGATCGAATAGTTCCTGCCATCTCTGAAAAATCAAATTTATCAACAGTTTGATTTTATTATTTCATTGAAATAAAACATAGAAATGTTAATTATTTTCTAATGTTCTTTCTCTTGGAAATAATTTTGTTAACTAATCAGTCAATCAATATCGTGTTACTTTCTATGATTTAATCTTAGTTTTGGACGTGAAGTAATCATTCAATCAACTTATCGATCACACAGATTCTCTTCTCTTCTCTAGATAACATTATATTTGTATCAGAAGGGGTTAAACGCTCGCACGCGAGACTGCTAAGTCCTGGGTTCGAATCCTGCGAGGCGGAATCGTGGATGCGCGCTGCTGAGGAGTCCCACAATAGGACGAAACAGTTGTCCACTGTTTCGAGGTTTTCCATGATGGTCTAGCTTCAATTGGCTAATGATCTCAACTATTGAAACATATTTATTAATAATTTGCTTACAGCATCAATGGGCAGACTTATAAACGACAGTAATATTGAGAGCCTTAGTAAACGGTAAAATACCTGTTCGAAATCTGTTTTTCAGTTGAATCAATTAATAATGTGTATCATTCATAAACAATATACTTTCACAATAACAGGTTTCATGATATTCTAGATAAACAATAAAGGGATTAACTCAGTGAACTGGTCACATAATATGAACTAATTTGAATAAATTTAAAACAATTTGTCCCTTTGATAAATTTCGATAATGCAATGAGAATAATTAACGTTAACCGGTGTTGAATTTTCATTTCTATTGTGATATTTTACCGATCAAAAATTCATTTAAGCGATTCATTTCAGTTAAGCAAGATTATAAGGATAACGTAAAACTAAATGTTACATAATTGAATTCTACAGAGCGCATTAGTTTTCCATTTGATAACTAGTGACAACTGGCATTAAACATGAGCTCAGAAATCCTTAATAACTACTTTCAACTATCTAAAGTGAAAAGCATAGTGTATACGTTATCGAGTCACTTAGACTAGTGATCAAATCATAATTTAATCTTTAGAATTCGATCAATACTAAAAGATTAGGCAAACATTAAATTAGTATATATTCAATGAACAATCAATACAGAACTAAATATAGTTATCAGTAACTTTCCAGTTGATTATCATGTAGAAAAAAAGGTGGATTCGTTAAAACATTAGGAAATCTAATGATGTATTATTGGACTTAAATCACTAAATAAAAGTCCATTCAAAAGACCCTAATTTTTATACATAACATTTAGTCGATGTACCAATTATTCTAATACATCAATTTCAATCTCAAATAAAAGACATTTACAAGTTACTTGAAGAGGTTTATTTGATTAGTAATCATAAAATTCATTATTACATTACATTTATAATTCATTTTGATTGAAATATAAATCTTAGTCAATAGAATGCATAACTATAATTTAACAAAAATAAACTAATCATTATATGATAGATGAGTCTTGGTGTATCATGAACGTATCATAGAGAATTAGTTTAAACTATAAAAAATTACAATAACAGTAAGTCAAGTAAACTAGGATTTATCTACTAAAATATTTGAATAGGGGTTTAAGGAGATTGTGGTAATTTTTTAAATAATTAAATTCATGAGTCCATTTAAGCTAGACCACTATTGAAAACCTGGAAGCACTGAACGGTTCGTTTCGTTCTGGTATGGGACTCTTTAGCAGTGCATATTTGCGATCCCGCATGTGTGACCCGAACCCAAGAACTTCAGTCTCACGCGCGAACGCTTAACCTCTAAACCACCTAGCCAACATACAACGTTGTTAATATCTAACTTCAATCGATCCATAATCTTGTACAATTTTTTAATGGTGGTCTAGCTTAAATCGATTCATGAATTCAACTATTAAAAAAATAAAATATTTGAAACAATACATAAATATATTCATAGCAAATAGTACTAAATGTGGGTATTTCTATTCAGAAAAATAGTATGTATACAGCATTTAGATATGATTTACGCTTAACTAATTGAATAATGAGGATGTACCTCGCTAATATATCACATAGTTTCGATAATCTTTATCTTCTTATTAAACTATCCAAATTTATCAATGGGACCATTTGCTTCGAAGAACATATTGTTTAAAAATACTTTGACTACATTGAAACAGTGATGAATTGAGGCGAAATATTAAATAATTTACGAGATTAGTCATTTTATACTCTATATATGTATGTGTATGGTATGTTTGTGTTTATTTATAATGAACTTTAATTCGTAAGATAAATACCAATAGTTGAAAAGATAATGAACTCATTAACAGGTTCAATTTTGTCTGTAATACATACAAGTGTTTATCAACAACTGTCTACGCAAAGTACATCAGAGCCTGTGGTCAGACACTATCAACAACAACCTACTGTGGGAGAGAACAGACCAAATCCCAGCGGAGGAAGAAATCAGGAAGAAGCGCTGGGAGTGGATAGAACACACATTGATGAGAGTACCGAACTGCGTCACAAGGCAATTACTCACTTAGAATCCTCAAGGCCAAAGGAAAAGAGGGAGATCAAAGAACACATTACGTCGAGAAATCGACAGACATGAGAAGAATAAACAACAATTTGATAGAACTACAAAGGAAGACCCAGGACAAAGTGAATTGAAGAATGCTGGTTGGCGGCCTATGCTCCATCGGGGGTAAAAGGCGTAAGTAAGTAAGTATAATTCAATGAAGATACGAAGTACAATATTCTATTAGCCAGGGTGGGTATGAAAATGTTTATGCAACTAATCTGTTTCTCATTTTCTTGCCGACCAGTGGTATTATGTCAAATGAAGAATACGTTACCTGCTTTGGCCACTTTAATGTATATTTGTCAATCTAAGTACTGTTGTGAATAAAGCCATATCGGACAATCTTTACTTAAGAACAATATTATTCTCTTCTTTGTCTTCATCTTGAATGTTTTGTTAAACAAAGTTATTCAATACAGTATACATAAATGTTTGATTAACCTGGGAAAATATTAGCTTAGTAATAGATATCTTATTTCATTAATTCGGTTTTCATAAGTTATTACCACCACTCAGTACAACGTAGTCGATGCATTAATAATCTATGGCCCTAACCACATTCACACACATATTTCCATATCTCTCTTCATCATTTTATAGTGATACTACAAACAATTCCTTGGATCAACTGACTAAACTTTTAGGTGGAGTTTTGTTCTCTGAGCTGGTTAGTTTGGTTGTGGAGCTTTCATTGTTGTTTATAAGAACAATCAAAGCTCCACAACCAAACTAACCAGCTCAGAGAACAAAACTTCACCAAAATCATCCACCTGAGCTACAGATCTTCTCCATCATCTCAAGACTAAACTTTATTATAATCTGAGAAAGTAAGACACTATAAATGAAAATACAATCAAATAACAACAAAATAAAGCTTTTTCTCATCAATAATATCATCATCATTATTATTATGCTAATAATTAACTTTTACATAAAGTGAACAATCATTCTTAGAACATTTCTAAATTATTTAAAAGATAGTACGGTAAAAAAATCAATATTAGCAATACATTGTACACATAAATATATATCTACATGTAAAAATATTGATCTACTATTTTGAGTCATTTCCATTTTGTTATTGTAAAAATAAATTCAGTCATTCATATTAGAAATTTCCATGTGCATTACAAGTTTAAGCCTGCACAATTAATAATCAGTAGTTCGACTGCAAAATTTGAAAAGTCTGAGTATTCTAGTGTTGTTGTTGTTGCTGTTAGAATTATCTGTTTTTCTTCCAAGATTTTAATGTTATTAAGATTTTGTGATGATCAGTTTAATATACCAATGTAACTAGGTCAAGTTTTATTGATTAAGGTGGAACATGACCTTCTATGGTTAAAAATACTATAAAGTATTTGTTAAACTAAAGGTTAACTTAACACAAAAATGATTTAGGAATTGTAAACAAAATGTGTATACTGTAGAACAAAAAACTCATAATAGATTACTTAGACGCCTATTTTCTGTTTATAATCTCTTTTTAAGGGATAGGATATGTGCCCATGAATTTGTGGCACATTTGCCTCTCAATGCTCAATATTTAACCTTTTTTGTCCATCTAGTGAGCGAATAATCCATAGAAAAAACAATTTTCACTAGGGATTTCATTTTAAGATGTAACTTTCATTTCGTTCAATGTTTTAATCCAGGAGATTGGGCTCCACTACTATGTCGTGTCCACAGAAGACATATTCAGATAGCTTTAGATAATTGGTATGAAATCCCCAGTGGAAATTACACTCTCATATGCAGTACAGACCCACTAACTGAACAGATGAATGCTCGAAAATGCTAGAAATCGGAATTTTCCTGAACACACAGGAAGAATGGTTATTCTCACATTTTTTTCTCATACCATATTTTATTATTTATTTATTTTAACACATAAGTATAGGTACAGGGAGGCACCAAGTACATATGCGTCTCACGAATCTCAATTGATTTGTGTGAGGGCTGTGATACTGCCGGGGTGCCAAAACCGAACCAGGTGGTTTTCTTAGGGGGCCACACCCCGAGCCTTCGACCTGAACGTCTGACCCACAAGGCAGTGGAGCATCGTGAGGAGATGCAATCCCATGGTAGCCGGTGACCAACGATTGGTTCATACGCCATTTGTTCCTTCAGGATACTGGAGCCCATGTGCACCATTGGTTTGGAATCCGGTTAAAGCGCCGGACATTCGCTTTTCGTCCTCTCATTTTCGTAAACAACAGTAATGCCACGAGAAGGCAGTGAGTAGGACTTCCCTGGCAGGGGCTATATACGCGTGGCCATGTGAGAGCATTTCGAGAGGGAGAGCGGACTCTCCCCACTCTCGGCCGTACCAGGGCATTTGGGGGCCATACCATCTATTCAGTTGCATTAAAGATTCTTCAGTTAAACAGTGTGCTATGTTACAACACAGTTCCCTTTTATACCAATATTCGTCAAGATTAGAACGAATAGTTCGACAGAAATTGGGCGCCGAGTATAG